AATGGTTAACTATATTATGTGAATTTCACCTCAATCATTTTTTTTTATAATTATGGTCTCATAGAAAAGTATTTGGTCTCTGTCTCCATTTCCTGCAACAGAGATAAACCCTTGGAATTTCCTGAGTGATAGGGATGACTGGAGCATCGTTTGTGGTAATGAGGTGCTTCTGGTGGGCCCTTAGACAGCCTTGGGACTGGGCTGGTCCCCAGAAAGACTATGCCTTAATTAGAAGCTCAGAACTTTCAGCCCCACCTTCAACCTCTGGGGAGAGAAGAAGAGCTGGGAATTGAGTTAATCACCAATGGCCAATGATCTAATCAATCGTGTCTGCATAATGAAGCCTCTATAAAAACCCCTAAACAACAGGGTTCGGAGAATTTCCAGGGAGGTGAACATGTGCAATGCTGGGAGGGTGGTGTACCTGGAAGCTCTGTATCCCTACACCATACCTTGCCCCATTCATCTCTTCCATCTGGCTGTTCCTGAATTGTATCCCCTATAATAAATGATAACAGTAAGTAAAATGTTTATCAGAGTTTTGTGAGCTGTTCTAGCAAGTTATAAAACTTTAGGAGGAGTTCATGGGAACCCTTAATTTGTAGAAGTGGAGGCATTTCTGTGGGGCTGAGCCCTTACCCTGTAGGGTCTGCGGTAACTCTAGGCAGATGGCATGAGAAGTAAATGAACTGCTGGACACCACCAGTGCCTAGAGAATCAAAGGATTGGAGAAGAGGTGCTGGAAAAGGCAGCGTGCATTTGGTTTCAGAAGGAAAACAAAACCTTTCACGTGGTGTCAGAAGTAGCAGAGTAAAAACAGTTTAATGATGCTCAAATGTTATTTTTGTAATCAAAGCCCCACCCTCATTTTTTTCCCTTGGGGCAAAGGAGTGGTTATCTCTAAAAGAGCGTCCTGCCAACAGGTCAAACGTTAGTTGTCCTTATGTAAGTTCTAGTGCCAAACATCATGTAAAATAGAATTCCTTCATCTCACGGTCGATGCCACCTTCAGGATCTAATGTGGTTAAACACATCTCACGCTTACATGAGAAAACCGCCTGAGTCTGCGAAAGCGCCTTTTCTGTCCTGGGTGTAGAGCTACCCTGTTCACCAGAGAAGCCAGTCATCTTTCTTCATCTCTGGGACCTCAACCTCCACTGGGCCTGGAAGCCTCCAAGGCTGCTTTGTCCACTCACCTCTCTTACCCAAATTTACTGGAAAGAGGCAAAAACACTTCAGCAGCAACAAGAGCACAAAACTAATGAAATGCATATGTGCAGGGTACTGGGCCCAGGACCTTACTGTCCCTCTCTCTGTGAATCTTCTTAACAGCCTTGAGAAGCCGACACAATTAGGAAGTCCATCTCATGGAGGGACTGAGGCCCAGAGAAGTAACCTGTGCACAGAGCCACTTCCACTTCAAAAATCCACTTACCTTACATACAGCAAAGGACTAAGTCATGGCTGAAAACCAAATGCAACCATTGCCTACATCAGGGTAGAAAAACCACCAGTGGATCCATTCATGATGACCCTGTTTCCAACACTACTCCAAACCTGTACAAGCTACTTTTGCAATGAACCACCATTCACTTTTCCACAACTCTCTGATCTTTACAAAACTTCCAAAGCAGGAACCCACAATTAGACATCTGCAAAACACAATACATAAAATCATACTGTCCCTGTCACCCAGATGTCACCAAAAACCAGAATCCATGAACAGCTGTTGCTCTAGGTCAAGCATGTCTCAGGTGTGCATATAGGACTACATACTCGGCTGGTTCAAATCCCAACTCCGCAACTTACTGTGTGGCCTTGAGCCTGTGACTGAGTATCCAGGAGCTTCTTCTTCCATAGAATGGGGACATCGCCTTGCTCCAGGGCTTGTCTGGAGACAAGTACCCACTTAGCACAGTAAGCTAAAAACCCACTTAGTAACTTCACTGTATCCCAGACCCCTTGTGTGCGCAGAGTCCACCTTACATCTCTGAGGACAAAACCACCATTAGGAATAGAGGACTCCAGCAAGCAGCCTGCAGAGCACAGCGTCCAACATCCTGAGAGAAGATGCTGCAATTCTGAGAATAGGCCCACAGTGGCAGTCTGGCTACACAGTCTCTATAGGAACTGGTCAGACAAGTAGACCTAGGAACGTGACCTTTTTTTGTTACAGAAAAACCAGTCATCCACCAACAACAGGGTTCAAATGAAAAACACATGCTGAAATCTGAAAAACCTACACCTAAAATGGGAAAATTCTGCTGTATTAAATTACAACTAAAAAACTGGACCAGAACAAAAATCCTTAACCCAAAACCAGTTGCTGCCATGACTGCTGGATGCTCAGGGTGATAAGATGCACACATGCTCCCTCTGAAGAGCAGCACCTCAGGGCCTCACAAAGGAAAGAGGCAATTAAAGAGAAGCACAGCGTCCTTCACTGCCTGTGGAAGACATGCGCACGCACGCACGCACCCAGCACCCCTAAGTAAGCAAGCCCAAAGAATCTGAAAGATCAGGACACCCTCGGAGAGGTCCTCTGCCCCTCAATGCCCCAGTGTATGTGAGGACGCTGTACCTAGCAGGGACAAGTCCTATGGTCAGAGACCCACCTGTTCCCTTCCCTACCGGGACAGGAACATAGGGGTGGAACACCTCAGGGACTCAGTACAGGAATGGCCCTGAAGTCTGGATGCAAAACCCAGGAAAGCACCCTCAGGTAAGGATTGAGAGGAGCTCCCCCAAAGAGTCACCACTTCCCTAGGTGCCCCTTTTGAGGGAGAACCTGGGTGCCTCCCCACCATCCACATGAGAGGTCTGAGGTACTAAGAGGCTGCAGAAGCCACCACAGGGAAAGGTCCTGGCTGAGCAGAAACACCACCTGCCTCACCTCTCTCCATTCTCTCTGGAGAATCTGAAGATCAGCAAAGATCCCCTGTGCCAGGAGAAGGGGCACTAAGACCAATTGGCCACCTCTGTGTACTGCCCAGCTTCAGCATGGCACCCCATACCCCTGGGGACAGCAGGAGCCTCCCGGCAGACCCCTGGGCCTCACAAAGAAACAAGGACAGCGGGAAATCGAGGGGACACCATCAGGGCCCTAGTAAACACTGCCAGAGCCCAGGTGACTGCAAACATGCCTCCAGGAGGGAGAGAAAGGACTGCGTGTCGGGGACCAGACAAGTGACCCAAGGGCACACAAAAGCTCGCTGATCTGTGGGACCCAAAACTGCTTCTAAGCCTCAAAGGAGTTGAATTGAAACCCAGAGATGAGCTTAGCTAGCTTCAAGGATTCCATCACCACTGCCCGCCCCTAGAATGCCAATGTATAGGACTGTTGGCGTTTTCTGCAGATGGACTGTCTCCTGAACCACCCAGGGGGTACTTTCATCATCCCTTTCCACAGGGAGCTGGAGAGACTGGTGACACCTGTACCAGGACTGAGTCCCCTGCATCAGTTCTCCTGCCTCCACACGCCCTTGCCTGGCCTCCCTAATCAGGTCCTTGGAAGACTATCCCCAAAGGGTGCAGCATCTCCTCTGCACCTCCTCCAGATGCCCTGCTGAAAAGTTAGGGTACAGCCTTTTCCTGGCGCAGACAGGTTGGGCTCTGCTCTCAAGGGTGGCCGGTCACCAGGACTCTCAGGCCTTGCTTCCACGAAAGCCTTGGTGGCCCAGGCTTCTGAGAAGTGGCCCCCAGATGGTCGCAGAGTTGACTCCCACTTTGCTGCACTTGCTGAAATGTCCCTCAGCTCCCAGTGGGGCAGCACACCTGAGTGCCATCCCCAGAGGCCCTTGACACCAGGTGGTTTGCAGAACAGCCAGGCATGAAAAAAGAACTCATTAAGGAAGTGGTGGCATTCACAGGCCTCACAGGGAGATATCCTTCCTGAAAGACAGAGGAGCTGCCTGCAGCCAGTCCAGCTGTGCTTGTGAAAAAGCACCCAACCACGGCCAAACCACCTCCAAGCCAGGAAAGGTGTCTGTGAGAAGGAGCAGAAGGAGGTTGCAGGAAAGCTCTTTAATTGTAATTATCAGGCTTTAAAAAAACCTAAAACTATAGTCTGAATCTGTCCCCCCCAAATTCACTTGTTGAATCCTAACCCCCAAAGGTGACGGTGTTGGGAGGTGGGGGCCTCTGGGAGGTGATTTTGTCCTGAGGGTGGAGCCCCCATGAATGGGTTTAGTGCCCTTATAAAAGAGACCCCTAAGGGCTCTCACCCCTTCTTCCATGTAAGGACACAGAAAGAAGTCTGTAACTGGGAAGAGGGGCCGGCACTTGATCTTGGACTTCTAGCCTCCAGAACTGTGAGCAATAAACTTCTGTTGTTTATAAGCCACCCAGTCTGTGGTATTTTGTTATACCATCCCAAATGGACTAATAGTTATCAATATATATTCACTGTAAATGTTTATAAAATATACATGGAGGAAAAGAAAAACACCTTATAATCCTACCACCCACATTACCTGTTAACGTTTTTAATGTATACAGTAATTCTTTTTTCCTATTTCCTATATTGTGTATATTGGCAGGAAAAGTCCTTGCTTTTTCATTCAATAATATTAAAAACTTCCCTCCCCCACCCAGATCATCAAAGAGTCTATTCAGGAGATGTACCATAACTTTAACCAATCACCTACTGTCAGACATTTAGATAATTTCCAGATCTTTGCCACTAATCACAGTCCAGTACTAAGCCTCTAGAACCATCCACAAATCTAGCCGTCATGGAATGTCGCTGCTGACTTAGGGAATGCATGCACTTTCAGGTGATCCCGGAGAGGTCACAAACACTTGCACTCCCAACTGCCATTGGTGCCCATTTTCCCAGCCCCCATCTCCCACTGGAGAGGCAGAAACCCTTCAAAACCAGGACTTTAGTGTGGACATCTCCGCTAACAGTAATCCCAGCATTCCCTCAGCGCTGTGTCACTGATTCTACTTCCTCTTTTGTGAAATGTGCGTGCTTCCTGTTGCCACTTCCGGGATCCTACCTTGTTTTTGAAGTGCACCTCGATGGGCATGATGAAGCCAGCGTAACCCGACTCCTCCACTTTGTATGGGGGCTCCTTACACACTAAAAAGAAAGGGAAAAGGCATCTGTCAGCTTCCTGATCATTCAAAGGCCTCACCACCAGCAGCAGTAGGCCCGCCACGTTCTGCGCCTCCTCTCTGGGGCTCACTGGCCCCGCCAGAGCATGGCTTTTCAGCAAGCCAGTTTCCCCTGTGAGTAATGAATCCTGTGCCTAATTCCATGCCAAAGAGGTCATGGGGAATCAAAGGAGCAGAACAGAGGAAAGGTGACCCTGATATGCCATGGTGGGAGAGTGGGAAAGGACATGAGACTAGCTAAGGCAGAGCAGCCAGTGCTGGCTACAGGTCACACAAGTTCAACTGACTCAGGGCAGTCAGTATGACATGTATGAAGTGGGAGACCCCGTGGGTCCCTGGTCTCCCAGGGAAGATAGTGCACACTACAGCATCTACCTGTCTCCACTGCTCCCTCAAACACATGAACTGATGCCCGGAGGAGATGGCCTGGTCTCAGCTGGGATTCTCTCCTGGGTCCATTTGAGCACCTAACAAAAGCATTCCCAACTGTCTGAGTGATGTGAACAGAGAGATTCATTAACCCCAGGAATATTTTTTAAGTTGAAACTAGAAGAACAGCAATGTACAAGTAAAAGAGTCTCCCACAATCTCACCCTCCAGAATGTAGAATGTACTGACAATGTTTTGACATGTATGCTGTCATTATGCAAGAAACATGAAAATATTGTTCTCCCACTTTTAAGAAAAAAAAAATCCTAACAGTACAGATTAAATCACCCCTGTCCTCCACCCCTCTGTCCCCAGAGGCAACCACTACTGGGAGACAGGAAAAATCCTGCCAATTGTTAAAACCTTTATGCACCTATATCTGTATCAGTCAGATAATTCTTAAGTAGGCCAGAAATTGCTGAAAAACAGTATATAGAATAAAATGAAACATGAGTCTTTTAAATTAAAACACTAAGACTTTTTAAAAAAATATATCTTTTTTCAGCTCTCAAATATCCTATCAAATATCATGTATCTCAAATATCTCATCTATCCAAAGAAAACTGGCAAGCAGGGTGGGCTTGAAGTCATTAGTGACCCTCCACAGCAGGGCTGGTCAGACAGCCTTGTTTGGATCTCAGTCTACAAACCCCAGGGGAGCAGGGGACAGGCTTGTGGCTCAGGCCTGGGAAACCCTGCTGGCCCCAGAGACGGGAGCCGCCTTGGGTGACCTAGGCCCCGAATCTCTATTCCAGCTAGTCCCCTTCTGTTCCTTGGATATCCTCCATGGATGCTGGATGGGCACCTCAAATATAGCCTGCCCCAAATCACCTATTCATACCCTCCAAACCTACACCTCCTCCAGGGTCTCACAGCTCAGAACACAGGCTGTCCACCACTCACCCAAGGACTGAGGACTCCCAGACTCTCCCTCTTCCACAGATCACTTTTGCCAAGCACTACGAGCTCCACCTTCATACTGCTCTGCAACGCACACCCCATGCCTGGCACTCTGTGTGGGTCACTACCCAGTGACTCACTAGCCATCCTGCCTCAGGCTCACTCCTGAGCATCCTCTGCAAGCCTGACTGTCCCATGATGGCTCCCCGACTTCGAGCCCCTCAAGGGGGACTGCAGGGCACTGCATCACCTCCAGCCTCATCTCTTCCCAGCCCAAACTCAGGTCCTAAGATTTAGTCCCGCTGAAACTCTCAGACCACTTCCTCCAGGACCCCTGCTCTGAGCCCCAACCCCATTTCCAGGTCATGGTTCCCTCCCACAGGCCTCCAGCATCCTGTGTCCCTCAATCACAGGACTTCCATGTTTACTCTGCCACCTTTCTCAATCCTTATATCAGCTCTATTTCACTTACTGTCACATGCCCAGGGCCAGGACCAGGGCCAGACCTTTCAAAAACAGTCAATAAAAATGGGAAATAGCTGTAATACTATCAACAATAAAAAATACATTTAAAAATTTTTTTTCAACAAGAATCTGTCAGATACTGCTGAGAGAACCACATGCCATGCTCCTTCAGGTTCTGCACCAAAGTAAAGGGATGGACCAGGAGCAAGAATTAAACTGGACTGGGAGGCCAGGTCATGGCCTGCCTCTCTCTGAACCTCTGGACCCTGTTTAAGAGAACTGAGAGAGCAAGTGGAGTCTCTCCAGCAGCATGAAAGCTGGCTGCCTAATGCTCTGCCCAATCCCACCAACCATAAGCCCCTGCAGTCTAGCACGGGGGTGGGCACCTGGCAGGCACCCAAATACTTGTTAAATTAATCTGAATCCAAGGAGGAAATGGAAGTAGAGCAGAGAGGAAGGGTAGCCTGTCTTCAGTGCACAATAGCCTACAGCAGAGGAACAGATGAAATGCATAGGCAAGGCAGTGGTCTGCAGTTCTGCTCCCAACTCCAGCCCCACCCCAGTCTAACTCCTGTCCGCCATCAAGGTCCAAGTCAGGGCCCACTTCCTTGCGAGGCCTGACCTAGTTTCCCTTAGTCTCTGACTTCCAGGTCACCTACTTCTGCTGAGGGCAGTTATCTTTTCAAGAGTACATGTTATGTCCTGGCTGGTGTGGCTCAGTTGTTTGAGTGTCATTCCATGCACCAAAAGATTGCTGATTTGTTTCCCGGTCAGGGCACATGCCTAGTTTGTGGGTTCAGTCCCCAGAGGGGGTGTGCAGGAGGCAGCCGAACAATGTTTCGCTCTCACATTGATGTTTCTCTCTCCCTCCCCCTTCCTCTCTCTCTAATATTTTTTAAAAGATTATATGTCACATCTGATCTCCATGTTTCTACCAGACTACAAACCTTTTAAAGGAAGAGATGTGTGGGTTTCTCAACATCTCTCCAAAGGCCTATCACATGACAGGCACTGCAAGGCTGAAAAACATCTATCCTTTCAGAATTGGGAAAAAGAGAGACCAAGCAGATGCCCATGGAAACCAAAGTGAGACAAATTTGATAGGAAATAAAGACAGTAAAAAGGGGAGGGAGGTGATGTAAACTATGGAGAAATTTCTGGAAAGAAAAAAGTGAATGAGACCATGCTGGGCAAGGAGACAGGAAAAGGAAGCTGCGGCCCAGAACATGCCATGGGGCACTGCAGGGTAGGCAAAAGCCCCACTGATGCCAGATCCCCAAAAGGCAAGGGGTGTGGCACCTACAGATTCAGTAAAGGGCAGGAGAAGCTGGAAAGGGGAAGGGAGGAAGACAGGGAGTGACTGCTAATGATGGGCAAGAAGTTTGTTTACTTGTGGGATGATGAAAATGTTCTGGAATGAGAGTGGTGATGATTGCACAACTTATGAATACACTAAAAGCACTGAACTATACACATTAAAAGGATGAATTTTATCATGTGTGACTTTTATTTTACTAAAGCAGTTATTAAAAAAAAAGAAGCCAACATAGAGGCTGTACTTGAACAACAGCCCTGGGAATCATCCTGCCACCCACCACCACCCCAGGCACAGCAGTTTCAAGCTTCCCTATGGGGAAATCCAGGTGATTCCATGTCTCAGAAGAGTCAACTGTCTGGAAGAAGCTAAAGCCTACAGTATAAAAACTGGACCCAGAGTAAAGCCCTCCTCATTTAGAAAAACACTGCGGGTTTGATTCCCAGTCAGGGCACATACCTAGTTGTAGGTTTGATTCCTGATCGGAATGCGTACCGGAGGCAATCTTTCTTTCTATTTCTCTTTCTCTCTTTCTCTCTTTCTCTCTTTC